GGCGGGAATATATCGTTCAGATCACCTCTTTGTGTGCAAACGGCTGAGTGATTGGCGTCTGCCTCCCGTATAGGTGGTGGTGGTGGGAGTATACTGCTAGAGTTATTGCCATTCATAGACAAAACGCCAGTTATTGACAAGGCGTTCGTCAATCCCTCAGGACTCTCCTCGGGTTTCCGGGTCAAATCCGTCAAATACGTCTTCAAAGAAGCTTTGTTGAACCAAAGGGGACCCCCCCCCACGCTGTTTGTTCTCTTTCACGATATCGTTCCATAACTGGATCGGAGTAATGTCAGATAAGGAATTGTTTCACAATAGGAGAGTATTTCTAACCCTGTTGGGGTTCCAAGTCTGTCTCTCAAGGATGTATTGTGTCCACTTTGTTGGGATGCTGGCCTTCAGATAGGGAGGGTGAGTACTGTCATGGCATAGTTGCACAGATACTCGGCAAGATCGAAAATCGAAGGTGATCCTTCCGGCACCGCGGCATGGGAATGTATCCACTTGACTGTCGTTCTCGGCCGTAAGCCCATTCAGCTGGTGACTCTGAGTAGCCTTGCGCTGCGGTTCGCGCTGTGTGCAGATCAATTTTATGGTGGTCGTCAACGGGTTCTTCCTATAGGTTCGACCTCTGCATTCCATGGTTCAGTATCCCGTATCCGTGGGTCAAGCGGATGTTGTACGACTTACTTGGAGATAAATTTGTATCCCGTCCATTGAAAGATTATAGTCATAATCTGCGAGCCAACGTCATGTATTTCCTCGTTTCCTCCGTCCCAAAGATCGCTGATTACTGCCGAGAATCGTATCTGGTCTGGTTGTTGGCCAAGTCGGTGAACGTTGTCTTGGAACTGCTCCCAAGATACAGCATTGGATGATAGTGGTGGGAGATCGTCGATCTCTTCTTTGTTGACAAGAATTTTCTCTTTCCTCGATGTCATTCTTTCCGAGTGGCATCCCTCGCAACGAGACATCAAACTTCCTTTTGGGCCTGCCGCACTTGGATAAATCCTACGGGCAGGAGAAACGATATCCCACGACTTATTGCAGGAAATACAACAGGTGGGTTCTTGAACACCTTCTCTGGATACTGCAGAAGCAATAAAAGTTCGACCCTCGGGCATCCAATCATCTTCCTCTTCTTGATCATCGTTATTCACCGGGAGAGCCCGATTCGAATGGTTACGGACGGCTAAATCTATCGCATCAGTATTGTCATCCATATATTGCGTAGACGGATGGTGACCTTTGACATTATTTCTATTATTAGGCCGAGTACTGGTGTCCGATGAATATAACGATGTAAGATCCGACGAAGAGGATGACCCCAACGATGTCAGACCTGATGATGCCGACGAAACTGAGGACGCCTTCTTCTCCGCCTTGTTTTTCCTGACCAAGGACTCCTGATAACACTTGACCGTACGCCTGGTGAACGGAAGGGGTTTCCCACTGTACCGTTTGTTTTCTTTCACAATCTTGTCCCATAGCTCAGTTAAGTCGAGGTTAGCTAGGAATCGTATGAAGATACAAGGTCGCTTCTTACTGTATCAGTATCCCAAGTCCATCTTTGAGTGATGAATTCCGACCATTTTGCTGGGATGCTGGTGCCCCTATACGGAGGATGAATGATTGAATGTTCTAGTTGGACAGTTACTTGACGCTTTTGGTGATCAAACATGAGTGTCCCTCCTCCGTTGCACGGGAACCTCTCCACGCGAGTTTCAGAATAAGCATACGCTATATCTGGACGGAGCCTTTGAGCCGCCAGTCCATCCGTGTCACGTTGATAACAGCGAAGTGGTATGACCGAAATCGATTCATTATTCATATTTCTCACTGTTCTATATTTCATTTTTCAGTATCAAGAGCTCATGAAACAAAAGGAACAGTGTTCAACGGACCCAGTCATAAATTTGTAACCCGTATGCTCATGGATCAGATCGCGGATTCGAGTTGCGACAGTCTTCATCTCTTCTTCACCTCCCTTCCAAAAGTCGCGAATTCCGACTGAGAATTGTGTCCATTTTCGCTGTATGCCCAGTCGGCGCACTCTTCCTTCGAATGCGGCGAACGAGACAGCTTTTTCTGGAACTGGTAGATTGTTTTGCCCTTTCTGTTTTTCCTCAAGTTTTGATTGGCATGCCTTGCAGCGTGGTAAAAGCCCGCCCTTGGGACCTGCTGAATTTCGTTGACTTCTACGGGCACGTGGAACGCGATCCCAGGACTGATTACAAGATATACATCGTTTTGGCTCCAGGTTTACCATCTCAGAAGAGGAGCCCTTGGCCACGGCGTGAGGCCACTGGGTGCGTTAGGTTGTGTTGGACTCCAAGTTTGGCACGTGGTGAACAATGGACTCGAGAACCGCACATTGTCCTGTGCTATGTTGAAGATCGGTATATTCCAATCTTGCAGGTT